AAGGAACTGGAGATCATTCTTCTACGTGAAGTATTGCAAGAATGGAAAAACAAATACCACATATACTAACTTTAATAGTGGAACTATTTGATCAACACTTATATGCACATACGGAAGTAAAACTCATAGATATACATTTTAAAAAGCTCCTTCATGCACCTATATGTTAAATTAATTAGAACAATGATGGATTTGAAATTTAGGAAGCTACTGAAGTACTGCAGATGAAAGTTTGTGGTGGCTTAGAAAAGGTATTGACAGCAGAGATAGAGATGGAGAAAAAAGTATATATACATATATGCACACACACATACACATATATATATACATATACCTTCAAAACATTAAAAATATACCTCCAAAACATATATGCGCATGTTTGAAGGTGGATTGATAGTCTAGTTTTTGACTGACTGATGTGGCAAGTGAGAAGAAAGAGATGTCAGTGATGACCCTGGGTGTGTGGCAGAAACAATTTTGGTGGATGGTGATATGATTTGCTACAACAGGAAACACTGAAGGAGGAACAAATTTTGTGGGTAAGATACTGAAGTGAATTTTGGTAATATTTTGTTATAGAAGCCTATAAAATTCTTATCAGATCTTGGTCCTGGGCATTCCTTTTCTTGGGCATGTATTTTAAGGGTATCCTGGGATGTGTTTTAATTAGGTATAGTATAACATGCAGACAGGGAAATGACTGTCATGGAGTGAGAAGTTTGTTATACTCAAAAATTCTAGAAACAGGAGGCACAGCATGCCACATAGTGCCACACGGGGCAGTACCAGGGTCCATCAGGAGGCAGGAGCAGGGGAGACTTTATCATGGTTTCCATGAAAAGTAATGGGTGAGGCAGAGTAAGCAGGCTTCGGATTTGCTAATTTGAGTAATTTCAGTGTATTTTGGAGTGTCTGGGTTGTCCCTAGTTGTCTGGTACCTGATGATTAGGGCAGGGCAATAGCTGCCCAGAGGATAAGAGACGTGTAAAAGAGGTGGTTGAGGGTGTACTCTTGGGATTGATTGGTTTGCATTTGAAAGATATTTTCAGAAGTGGATTTTTTATTATCTTTAGGAGTTGGCTAACCCTCTGGGGGGAGTCCTTCCATGCTTAGCAAGGCCCCAGATGTCAAAGCATCAGAATACAGAAAATAAAAAGACACAGTTAATACAATAAACATACCTAATGGAAAGTTAAGTATGTACGTTTGAGGATCATAAATAGGGTATATATCATAAAGACATAAATTTAGAGACTGTCAGCATATAAATGTCATTTAAATCCTGGAGGAGGTTAATATACCCTGTGGTAAGAATATAGAATGGGAACAGGAATGCCTAGAACCAAGTTCTGATGTAATTGAACATTTAAAGTTTGGAGAGAAAAGCAGATCTCCTCAGAGTTTATTGAGAATGATTAGGTGGAGGAGTGGGAGAAATTCAGGGTGTATAGTTTCACTGAAATCAAGGAAAGAAAAATAAGAAGGCTAGCCCAATCAATGTCGTTACACACAAAAAAACAGTGATGTAAGAGCAGATCATATGTATACTGCCACTACTGATTTATTAACTTATATATTCTTTTATTTAAAAAAATTGATTGCTTTATTCTTACAACAACTGAAATGACTTTTGCAATGAGATTTTCCCTCCAATTCAGTGTTACTTGTTTTACAGCTACAGATGCCATTTGAAAGTTTTAAACAATTTGAATATTAATCATTCTAAACAGTACCATTTAGAGTCCAAACTTTATTTCTAACATGAAATTTCTATTTTGCAAGTCCCATATTACATACTATATTAATTGTTCTATTTTTAGTTAGGAAAGATATAATCAAACATTAGAATTTTAAAACATGAAAATGATCATTTATTCACTCATTCAACAATCACTTTGCTTAACTAAATGGTATGGATTGTAATTATAGAAACCATTTAGTTATAAAACCACATTTTTTTGAGAGAGAAAAATACTTTAATAAAAACTTTCAGTGTTAGAAGGGAATTCACAGGTTATTTAGGTTCAATTGCTTCATTTTACAGATAAGAAAACTGAGGACCATAAAGGTAAATAAATGACATGACCATGGTTGCACAAGAAACAGCAGAAGGCTAGGATTTATATCTTAGGGTAAACCTGGTTTATTTTTTGTAGTAAAGGTTCTGGAAATGTAGAATTGGTAGGATAAGAGTCACAAAGGGTTAGTTGTCTTCTAATCCAGGGTCATTTTGAAAAAAAAAAGTTCAAATACAGTTGAGGCAATGCTGACAACAGATCCTATTTCCACAAATACTTACAGAATGCCTATCATTTATTTATTTTCTACCAGGTAATGCTTGTCTATAATCCCCCTGCTAGGCCCTCTCTCATCTGTTATCAAGTACAGATGCATTATTTTGATGTCAGTTGTTCAAAAACCAGTGTAACTCCATAGTATTTTCAGCTAAGGAGACTCACTTAGTCAGTAAAAGCAATCGAATGGATTGTGTAGGTTCAAGACCCAATATAGATCTCTGTCATTCATTGGCATTCATTCTCATAATCATGGCAATGAAAAATTGGTAAGGAAATAATGATAGTGAACAGTATGTTAATTTTTAAATATGGCAAAATGTCTATGAAACTCCTCCATTGAGGGATGGGGTTTATGTGCCCTCATCTTGCATTCTGGTGGTCTTATGACTACTTTGGCCAGTAAGGCATAGAAAAAATGATGCTGTGTTACTTCTGAGGTTAGGTCACGAAAGGTTATTATAGCTTTTGCCTTATTGGCTAGCACGCTCTCCCGACAAGCCCTGAGCTGCCGTATAAGAAATGAGTCACTCTGAGGCTGCCACACTGTGAAGAATTGAATCAGAAAGGTTTAGAAGTCATATAACTCAACTTCTTATGTGACATTTGGCTCCATTAACACCTTCTTTCAAGGGACACGTACCACAGCTGATGCATAATCCAAAAGTAGGTCATCCTTTTCTATTTAAATGTAGCTCATTTAATTTTTTGACACCTCTAATGGTTAGCAGTTTTAAATTTATATCAACTTAAAAGCTACCTTCCTGTAACTTCACACTGGGTGGGGTATTGCCTGATCAAATCCCTCTTCCTCTTAACAGCTTCTAAAATATTTTATGATGCCTAGGATGTCTTCCCTGTTTTTCCCCTAGACACGTGCAGGCACCTCAACAGTTCTCTTACTTGGCTTCAGTTCCTTTATAATATTCAATAATGTGGTATGCTATAATTTATCAGGGTTCCCTCTCTGGGCCCAAGAACTAATCTCACTACTCTAGATGTTGTCCAATCAGTGTAGGCTATGACTATCAACTTTAATACTTTGGAAACTGTGTAAAGATTATTGCTGTTTTTTCACAGCCATCTTATGTTGTTGGTGTGTTGAACCTATGCTCATCCAAAATTCCATAAGCCATCTTTTGCAGACCTTTTACCATGACATTTCATGTACTCACCTTTATTTGGCAATCCAGATATTTAGACTATTTTATAGCCAGTTGTATCACTATCTTTTTGTGTCATTTGCAAGTTTCTCTATCTCCTTCATCCTAAATTTCTTTCTCATAGAAATATCAACTTATTTTTGTGTATATATTATTACTGACTAATAGGTGACAGAAAGATAGTAAATATGGGCTTAATGCTTCAACAAAGCATTTGCTACATTTCCACAGTAGCCTACAAACACAATGGAGAAATGTTGTCTGAATAAGAGTATAGCTCATTGATTTGCACTTTGATTAAATGAGGGAACATGAATTAGAGAGCTGGTTGTTGGTTCCAGTAACATCACCTTGAAACCTGGTGCTGAAGGGCTCTTTCATTGACCTAGCCCTGAAAAATTCATTCATCAGCAGCTTATATCAGAGTACAATAATGTGAATCTCAAATTTTGGATTAACGGGAAGCTAAGAGGTACCAATTAAATAGTCTTTTCCTTTGTATTTTACTTATGAGTTTGAATGCTCAAGAAACAATCATGGTGAAACATGGTAACATCTCAGAGAAAAGTCCTAAGGCTCCTTATGTGGGCTATCATTGATTTAGTATTAATATTTATTCTGTATTAAAATCACCTTTCTGTTTTAGTCAGAGGCAAGTCTCTTGAGTTTTTAGGCTTTTGTGTTTTTTAAACAGGAAAATACAGTCATAAGTATCTTCAGTACATTACTTTCAACACTATAAATCTGTGTTGATATTAAAGCTATAAAATGTCTGGCTATGCATACTCTAATAATAAACTAATCATACTGCATTGGCTGAGAGAAGAATAACAAAATAAACTATTCCTACCTAATATGAACTTTATCACCTGCTATTATACAATAAATATTTAAACTCCATTGTCTTGCCTCAACTAAGAAAGCTTTACTGCCTCAGCATTTCTCAAGTTACACGAATCACATGTAACATTAAAATGTGCGAGTAAACATGTTCAGCTTTCCCCAGGTGGGGCTCCCCAGAAACAATTGTCACTTTGATGGTAAGGTATCAAAGCCTGGTATAAATTTTGTAACTGGACATGTATAAGTCATAGACTAGATACACAAGTGCATATGAACATATTTCTACTGTTTTTCTAACTTTTTATTCTCAGGCCACCATTAAAAAAATAGAAGTACCCTCCACTCCCCATGTGTTTTATCCCTAACTAGGGAAAAAAATGGCTTAAAAATAGTCATTTTATTTTTGCATACCTTGTAGTTTTTTTAAGCATAGCATTTAAAGAAGTTTTTATTTTTGATTATTTTTTTAATCATGTTCTAACTTACTCTTCCACCAGGTAACTTGATATAAACATACAAATGGTTTCTTTAACAATTTTTCTTAAAATATACATTTTACTAAAGTGTAGCACATATACAAGTGTTCAGCTTAATGAATTTTTACAAGCGAGCATTTGGTGTCAAATATAGTTTTAAGGTCACAACT